CATAAAATAGTGTAGTGGATTTGAGGTGTGATAGAAAAGCCTTCCTCTTACGGTCCATTAACTGTGCTGTGACTGATTAAGATTATCAAGGCCCCATTTAAAATAAAAAAATAATTGTCTGAAGTAATTTTATTTTTATTTTCATAAAACATTATTTATCACTGTTAACATAGATAATTACGTCCTAATAACTTTATCTAGTTATATTGAAGCAAAATTATACCTATATAATATACCTTCAATATTTAGGAGTATTAACTATTAAGTGGCTTATTTTCTGAATCTACATTTTCAAATAAATATTTGAATTTGTATTACGAATTAAAGGTATTAGGTATTTTATTTATACACAATATTTAGTAAGTAATAATTACAATATTATAAATTTATGGTAAAAATTAGAGGCCCCTAAAAAATCTCAAGTCTTATGGACCGGGGTCATGGCCCAACTCACCTAGACTTAATGCGGCTTGGTCGTTACATACAACTTATGAGTAACAAAATGAAAAAAAATAATACATATTATAAACAGATTATAATATACTGTATAGTTTATTATACGTAATATAAATAACTATTTTATACTTTAACCTATACTTACTTTAAATTTATAATAAAACCGAAAGCAAGTAACAAACATACGTAAATTATTACTAATTTTAGCTATAACACCCAATGACAACGTCTACAATTGAGAGTTGTGTGTTACACATTGGGCCTTTCTAATGGGGGAGCTTATGGGGCCAATGCCCAAGGCAACAGGGCCTACGCATCTTATATTACATTTTCAAATTAAATATAAGATAATTATTTAATAATCATTTTTTATGAATTTACAACTCAAAATAATTTTCAATTTTCGTGATTTTTACGAATTTTGTAAAAATTCTAACTTCATATGATTATGAAAACTATTGTGGATTTACGATCATTTTTTTTTTAACTTGCACTAAGAACATTGTGATTAACTAAAAATAAACATGTACGTTGTTATTGATAAAACTTCACCTTATAATAACTATAATAATATAGTTACTGAAGTGGTATAGTTAGCTATTTAAATGAATAATAACTAAAGTGATTTGAAACAGCGACTTCCTTTATCCTATCTTTTATTACCATTTAAAGCATAGGTATATTTATTACGATTGATAGGGACCGTGAGTATAGATTAATAAACGTAAATTATGTTACTTTTTGATACACCATACACCTAAGTATGAGTGTCTTTATTAAATTATTGTTGAGGATAATTTTATTGTTGAAATTGTGTGAATATATATTAATATAATTTCTTACCTGGTTGATATAAGATATTATTTGATTAAACAATGAGAATTTGATGATGTCGGTTCTCTTGAAATAAGGTAAGCATGATTTTGATATGGATAAAAGTTATTTTAATAATTCACAGCAAGATATGAAATATATTTTAATGAGTAAGTTGAATTAATAATCACTTTATAATTTTGGTAGCTAAATAAGACGGTGTGTGTGATACTATATGAGACAGTTTGGCTAATATGAACATACTGTGCTGCTTAGATCTGACTCAGCTCATGGTATCAGACTGATCTGAATATCGAAATGGGGGTTCTACTTATAGTATTGACCTTTGATACCTTTTTGTTCCATATTAAATTGTTGTTGTTTATTTTGCGTAAGTACATTGGTATAGTCAAAATATGTTTTTATAAGATTAATTACATTTACACATGTATATAATATATATATGATTATTACTCACTAATAGTTTTTGAATATAATATATTTTGAATAATATTAGGTACAGATATTTATTATGTTTTAATAGTGTATATTAGATATTGTATTATCATTTGATTTCATAGTGAGTATGAATGTTGTTGTTGTGTATATTTTTTGTTAATTTAATGAGTACCTGAGTACAGATATTTAATGTCCTTTTTGGAAATAACATATTTAATAGTATTATGATGATATTGAATCATGAAGCTGTGTTGGCGCAATGATGTAGATATCATTACAGCATCTTACGAGTAACCTTATATTACATTTTCAAGTTTTTTGACCCAGCAAACATTTTTTTATCTACATTAATTTTTAAAAAAATAGAGTCAAAATATTTTTAAAATCTTATAGAAACTACTATAAATAATCAGTGAAAATTTCATGAAGGTACCTACTGTCATTTTTTAGAGGATTAAAACAAAAATCAAAATCGATTTTGTCGAAAAGTTATTTTATGTAAACATTTCCGTTTTTCCTTATTTTATATTCTGAGCGGAGCGTGGAAGCTATAATCGGGGTCACGAAAACTGGCGACTGCTTTTAGCGCCCCCGGTGGTGTATTTTCGTTAGGGCTATCTATCACTAATAGCCTTAAAAAAAAAAAAAAAAAAATACCACTAGGAGCAACTATAGTGGTTTTACAACACTTATATTTTTTTTTTTTTATAATGTATACAAAAATTCTACTAGAAAGAATGCTTCGATTTCAACATAATATAGTAACTTAACTTTTAGAAAATTGGGTAATTTTTTTTGTTTTTCTCGGTACTTTTGGAAACTACTAGAAATTTAAATCTCCCTATTGCACCATCTAGATTCACTTTCCCACCATGCATTATTTCGACTACTAATTATGGAAAAAAAAAACAAATTATTGTAAAGTAATTATTTATATATTATTTATCTAAAATTATAATTAAAATAAAATAACTTATTTACATTTAATTGTAGAGGGTGAAGATGAGGAGAGCCTCGAATTATATCTTACCTCAGGTCTCGTAAGTCCTAAGAGGAGCCCTGATTATAATACAGTAGTACGGGGCAGCTTAGATCATGTACACTTTAAAATCTCAATGCTATGCTACCAAAAGTACTTGTTGCATTTTTTATTTATTATTTTTTTTTGTCTAAGCAGCGTCTAATAATCTAAAATATTTCATATAATATTACAATTTATTTATTCATACCGTTTATCATTTTCTTCGTCCCACAATATAGTCTCCTTCCGCTAATTCGTTTTGATTTACGTATATACGTACTTTTGGTCTAACCTTTATTTCCGCTTTTTCCCAAAATAATAAAAACGAACAAAAAATAAACTAAAAAACCATCTAACGATACACACCGAGCTTACCAACAAACACTAATGAAATAAAACGTAAAATATTGTCGGTGAGCGAGAAAATCACCATATTATCCAGGATTTACGGCTTATGTAACAACATTGTGGTGTTTGGGTTCTTTTTTCCGATACCAGAATGGTTGATTCAATTTGAATTTTTGAAATTCACCTGATTTGAAATTGATTTTCGTTCTGATTGCTTTACTACAGGGTTGTAAAACTCACAAATTTTACGTACAATAAATCGCTTTTGACAATTTCTAATAATATTGTAATAATGCATCTCGTGTGATTCAACACAAACATGATTTATTGCATTGTTTTGTGATCTTACAATGACTTAATTACAACCCATGCTCCGTCAAAACAGGTTAGAGTGTTGGACTCTTTTAGCCATATTAACTTCGTGAACCAACAGTGATATAGTATATAATATATTGACATTAAAACAAAAATACTGTCCGTAAGACAGTACTTAGATAACATTATAATATAATCCAAAAGTCAACCATAGTAATATTTAACCAAACTCTAAGCACTAATTTAGCATCTAACTTAGTTTTAAATCCAAAATCTTCTATATGGTTCAAGTTGGATCAGGAAATCGGAAATGAGGCCTACTTTTTTTCAGAAAAAAGAAAATCATATTTAAATAGATGATTTAAAAAATAAATACATCATAATATTATATCATCATCTTAGAACCATCATTTCCAATCTCAAAAAATTCAAATATGCGTTTTATATATCAATAGATTCGTATTTTCGAGACGAGTGAGAAAAAGTGATTAGTTTTGATGTTTGACCGTTAGGCGCGCCGCTGTGAAAATTCCAAATGTCATCATGGCCTATCTAATATCGTTTGTTATTAGTGGTATCATCGCCTATCTAAAATTTTTATTTTTGGTATCATAGGTGGTATCATGGCCAATCTAGAAATATCGGAACTGCCACTATTAATAGAGAGCCGTCAGCAGCCAATAACTCAATTAAATTAGTATAACTAATATTATTATTATTATTATTGACAATAAGATGAAATGTTTTAGACCTTAATGTCAAAACTCAAGCATAGAATAGCAAGTAGACCAACACGACAGGTAGAATCTTATTTAGATACATTGGCACAAGATTAGACTCACTAGGTACTTCTCCAACATCACCAAAGAGTTACCCAACTCACCCTAATAAAATTCTCGATGTTCTTGATATCCCCATCATAAAAGCAGGTTGTCTTGGATATCATCTAGAAAAGCTCCCAAGTGGGCTTTTATAGGACTACTCACCTTTCCTGCTTGACTTCCATTTCTGCTCTATACAGTATACATGTGTCTCCGTCAAAACATCTATATATCGCCGACATGTCCGTCAAGTTGGCACCGGCATATTATGCTATGACGATAGAACCAGTCCCAAGAGTTTGCTAGAGATTCGCTAGATTTTGTTAGAACACTTTTAAATTTTGCTAGTTGTAAATTCACAAACAAACTTGCACTGGCACATTGTTCGATTCCAAAAAAAAAATTATGCCAAATTATTCAGCCGAATTTGCTAGATTTTTTTTGGACATTTTTGGATTTTGCTAAGGAACCAAAACTTAGCAAAACTTCACACAAATATAACCCTTATGAACTTGGTAGCGCAACATTAACACACATCGATCCAATCAATCTAACAAATTTGTTGGTTGATTGTTGCACATTGTTGGACAACTTACAAAATGTGTTGGATATTAGTTCCAAAGGGGGGCCTATGTAAGGTGGTCGCTTGCTTGTGGCTCCTAACCAGAACAGACAGCTAAAAGCAAGAAGTTCTCTTTTTTAGGCAACTAATACCACTACCATTGCGCTGTTACCCAGCCTACACAGTATCATGCAAAAAAATATATATGACGCGGAGAGTAGGGACAGTCCTTAGGATCTGCCACTTCAACATCGGAGGAATATCAAATGCTAAGATCGAATTGCTAGGAAATATCTGCAGACCAAAGGCTATTGATGTAATTGCTATACAAGAAACACATACAGTTGATAAAGCTGATCTCTACAAAAGAAGGTACATAGCCGGTTATGTACTTATTGGAGCTATTCACCATAAGCAGTATGGTGTAGCGGCATTTGTGAGAGATAATATTGACAGTGCAAGGATGATAGTCAGCGAATGATATGGGAACATCGAAGTATTAGAGATAGAAGTATGTGGAATAACCGTTATAAATACTTATAAACCACCAAACACAACAGAAGAGTAAGCTTAGGAGTCGTGGTACCTACGTAAGTATTACATCATACGTGATATTCTTATTTACTTGTGTGTGTTTAATATATTGGAATAAAGATGTTTAGTTCTTTATATTGTTTTTGTGTTTGGAGTCACCTGAACTGAAAAGTGCATATACAACAAATGTATTCATCTATATGCTTATATATGAATACATAAATATTTGTAATAATTAAATAATGACAATCGATAGTAAAAATAAGGAATAACTAAATTCGTGTTTTGTACAAAAAACCGTGGCTTGCATTTGAAAAAAAATCTGTTTTATGTTATTTATAATTAAAATGTTCCACAATTTTTGCGTTTATCGTTATTCAGAATTAAAACTTTATCCAAGTTTTTTGTTTATCGTTATTTAAAAAAAAGTTAATACATACTGAATTTAATAATAATAACTAATGAGAGTAGGTAATGGCCCGGATACAGAATATAATATAATCAATTCTTAGATTGTTTGCATGAAATAAATGTTTCTACGAAACCAATAGACCTTTTAAATAAATCTATTTTAAAATATTTCGTTTTGCATTATTTTTCGTTCAATGATATTCTATAAATTACATTTTGTGTTGTGTTTTTTTTTTTTTTTATTAGCCCTTTGTTACCATAAAGTCGTTAACGTCACACTTGACCAAAATAGCTAACTTCCGCACATATTGTGATATTTCTAGAGAATATGAAAATTTAAAATTAACTTAATTGTGAATATTATAAATAATTATGTTGATTTTAAGTTAACGTAGATAAAAATGAGTCAAGTTAAAGTAAAATTAATTAAAACAGGGAACTAGCAAGTTAAGTTAAGACTTTTAACTTATTAACTTTTTAATACTCAGCCTTGCCTGCAATACACTATACCAAAACATTATACAATAGTACACTAAACTTAAACTAGACAATGACGTGTTAATAAACCTTAGGAGTTAGACGACTACGTTTTATGTGAATTTTATAATATAACGCACTTACATTTAAATGTACCTACGTATTACTGTTGTTACAAGCAAATAAGATAGACAAAAATAATATTTTTTGCAAACAAACGTTTCTTTCTCGACTGGTCGCAATTCAAACAGTCCGTAGAAACACATTGTATACGTCTGATTTACATTCACCGTGTTTTCCAGATGATATTTACATCTAATACGATCACAATCAAGTGCACATGAAATTCGTAAGTTTAACACGATTGTTTTGTACCGAATACCAACCCTACTACGAAATAAATCTACGGAAACGTCCTTAAAATGCAAAGTCATATTTTTCCCCATGACTGTGCAGTTCTTAAAAAATCGCCACAATATTATTTTAGAACATATGTAGACGAGTGTGACTGTTATTGTTTGGGAAAATGTAGGTACTTAAGTAATATGTAGTTGGTATGATCAGTGGCGCAACTATGGGGTGGGGTAGGGTAGATTTTCCCTCCCTCAATAAGATTTAACCCCCCAAAACCGCCTATGGGTTATTTTTAATTAATAGTTTTGTTAGGTGGGCTGTAGCCCCCCAGAATTTTAACACTGTCTAGTTGTGCCTATCAATATGATATTCAATCACCTATTCATAATCACGATAATTTCGTTTCAAATAATTATTTGAATCAGACTTGAATTAAGTTTTGAATTACATAATAATAAGTCATATGCAGCACCTTATCCCTAAACAGCTAAAATTATTTGCTAACACATTCGTAATATCACAATCACTGGGCTATAGTATGCTGAAGCTATGCATGTGTTTCCCTCAAATGCATGTTAGCTATTGGATATGCCAGTGGACTGGTAGATACGAAAAATTGGTGATCCTTATGGGTTGGTAGTTATTATAGCTTTAAAAAGTAATACTGAGTGATTCTAATGACACTAACAAGATCCAAGGTTGGAGAACTTCCGGAAGAATTTATTGTTAATGCTAAAGCTTGCAAATGGTCAGCAATATTCAACAACTAACGAGAAATCAGAACTATTTATTAATCATTTATTTATTTATTTATTTATTTATAATGAATAGAAAAGCCCAACTGTATTAATTAATGGGTTTGGTATTTTAATTAGATATCTGAATATTTTTTATAAAATACAATATACTGTAAGTGCCTAGGTATAGTTAAATTGTTAATGAAAAATAAAATATGTTGTTTAATTGTAATGTATCATAAAATAGTAATAGGGGGATGTAGTGTCCGAGTGGACTGAGGCGTCGGTTGCGACGTGCACCGGCGCTGGTTCAATCCGGGCAACGGGTGACATTTTTCTTCGGGCAGTCACGGTGTCCGGAGAGAGAGTCCTCCATCCCCCACCCTGACATGGCAGATATCTACTAAATGTGTTTTTAAAGGGGGTAAAAATATCCTAGCACAGTGGTCTTCAACCTTTTTGGACTCGTGACACACTTTTTTAAGCCTACATTTTTCACAAACCACGTAAGCTTTGTAGAAAAACAAAAAAAATGCTAAAATTGATTAATGCTTTGTAGTAGTACCATAGGTCCATGTCACTGGCACCGCCCATTTTGAATTTCTGGTCAAAACCCGGGGCTTTCGTTTATAACTCAATAAATAAAAAATACATTTTAGTAGGCAGAATATTTAATTATTATTAATTTATAATGTATAGAATTCACACGAAAAAATATGTTAAAATAAAAATACGACACAAAAAATGTAATGTTATGTTTGTCCTTCAGTGTTTTAACAAATAAATTCCACTTGCTACGTAGAATCATACCAGTATATGAAAAATATATTGTGATTTGATATTCATTATATTATTATAACATTATATTATAGAATAAAGATTATATAAACTGTATTTTTATTTATTTCATCTATTAACTTATTTTTTATTTTAAAAAGAAGATGTCGCGAATCGATTTTAAAGCTTACGAGACCCAAAAATGGGTCGTGACCCACCGTGATCGGTTGAGGAAATAGCTTATAAATTATTATATTCTAATAATGCATTTTATTATTGTTTATAACAATTTAGAGGTTATTACCGGAGTAAAATTTAAAATGGTTATTGGAAAATGTTGTTGGTAATCTTGTCGGATAGTCATCGGTATAGGTAATTATTTATTATTATACTAAGTTTATTTAAATTATCGTTATTTTATTGTTTAAATATATGCATATTACATAATATAATAAAATTTAAAAACTGAATTATCATTGTTTAAAAATATTTTTAATATAATACAATTACATATAATAATATATTAATTACCTACCTTTTTTTTTTTCTCCATAAATATTTTATAATTAATAATTAATATATTATAAATTTATTTATTTGTATTCGTGATTCAAATTGCCCGGAAAATGTGTATATTACACGGTAATTATTCAACATTGTCCGTAACATATACACTAATAACTTAGAATATGATTTATTTAGTCGTGAAAAATGACAAAGAGTTGTTGATACATCCTAAAATAAAAATGAATTACGTAAGACATAGGACACAATACATGTTTTGTAGTTTGTATCGAATGTCTTATACTCTTACCGAACAACTATTAAACATCCGGTTCAAGATTCAAAATGGTTCAATTATTTAATATTTGAATGATTTACGACTTACATGATTTATTGATTTATATTTATTTGGGTATGAATGCCGTTACTCTATTGTATTATAATATTTTTAAAGTATAATATTTACTATAATAAAGTTTTAAAATATAATTTTAACTTAAAATATTATAAAGTACCTACCTATTTTAAGTAAAAAAAATGACATAAAAATATACGTTTCAATTTATTTTTTCCTTGTAAACGCAAACCCTACTCCACAAATCAGCGTTTTAAATTCTTATATAAACAAGAAAACAAAATAATTTATTCAGTTGATATTTATTATATGCATACAATTTTTCTGAAAAGTATTTTAAACCTACTTATGACATAATAAGTATGGCTGTCTTCACAAAAATTAAAAAAACCACAATGATAAAAAATTATATATTTTCATTATATTAATGTAGTGCATTAGGTATGGATTATACTATAGTTACCTACTTCAAACCTATGTACAACATGTTTTTAGAAGCCTACAAAAATTTACTTAAAAAATTAATATGTCCAGGCAAATGGATCATTGTGTGTATTCTTATAGACAAGTACACAAATATATATGTGTGTCTGTGTGCATTGTGATGACACACCCCAAAACTACTTTTTGGTGTAGCTTACAGAGACAAAAATTAACATAGAAATTCATTAAAAACGTTGTACCTATATTATCATGACATCGGCGGCCGGTGCGCCTCTCGATTAATATCAACAGAGGCTGAAAAAATACACTACAATAATAATATTACAGTATAATATTGCGTTATATGATAATATAATTTAATATATATACATAATATATGTATATGCGTACCCTGTGAGGAGCCAAGTGTATTATTGTGTATGTATTATGTATAAAAATATGACTGTGACGAGAGGCACGAGAAATCGTGTCGTATTTGTTTTAACCGCTCACGGGGGAATTGTTTCGGTTTTGTACAGTGTGATGATAATAAAAAAAAACTAATAAAAACAACTTTTCGATGGAAAACAAAATTTAAAACCGTTCGTATTAATTTTTGTGCGTGATATACTCACCAACAAACCTAGACAAATTTTTATCATTTTTTTCTCTTCTATGTAATGAGTTCAATATACTTTAATATTAGTTTTGCTTTTTTTTTTTTTTCTAAGAGCAAGACGTGTTTAACCAATAATTTTAATTTCACGTTCCAGAGCAGAATAATTCAACCAACACTTTGATTTATACATATTAAACACTTAACAAATATGAAAGAATATTACTTGGCCTTTTTTTAGTTTTGGTGGCAAAGTATAGACGCAAATGTATTTTTCACTTCTTCATTAATTA